CCCCCCCCCGCCCCCCCCCCCGGCCCCCCGCCGCCCTCCCCCTCCCGCGTCCCGCCGGCGGTCGTCTCGCCGACCCCTCCGGCTCGGTCACCGCCACCCCGCGTCCCGGTCACGTGCCCCGTCGGCCCCCCCCGCCCGGCCCGGTGTGCCCGTCGCACGTCCGGCCGTGCCCCCGTCATCCGCCAACCGCCTCCCCAGTGGCGCCGTATTGCCGGTTCGTCGTCCAGTGGCCCCCCCTCCGCCGCCCAGTCCCCCTCAGCCGCCCCGGCTCGTCCCCGTCGCGTGTATGCCCGGCCGCTGGCGCCGGGCCCGGCCCGGCCCTCGTGTCCCGTATCCCCGCCCCCAGTTCCCTCCGCCTGGGCGTCCCCCCCGCCGTGCCCCGGCGTCCTCCCCAGTCCCCCCCGTCCCCCATCGGTTGCCGTCCGCGCCCGCGTCCCGCCCTCTTCCCCCAGCGTAGCCCCGTCGTCGTCCCCGGCCGGCTGCGCCGGCCGTCGCGGCCCCCTCCGTCGGCGTCACGCCCTGGACCCCGTCGGCCCCCCCGTACACGCGGTCGTTCCGCCGTACCCACCCCCCCGTCCCACCCCGCCGCCCATGCCCGCCTCCGTGCGTCCCGTGCTCCCCCGCGCCGGCCCCCCCCTGGCACGCGCGCGTGGCCCGTCGCCCCCCCCCCCCGTCCGTCCCGGCCCCGGGCGGCCCCGTCCTCGCCCTCCCGGCCCCCCTGTACCGTCCCACCCGTGCGGACCCTCCAAGGCCCAGCACGTAAGCACGGGCGGGTTGATTCCCTCGCCCGCGGCAGTAGCCCCGGCGGTTCCCCCCACCCCCGTCGCCCCCGCGTCGCCGCCCTGCATTCGCCTTCCGCCGGCACCCCGAGGCCACCTCGTTCCCTCCGCCCCGCCCGCGTCCACCCCCCCGCCCGCGGCGTCCCCCCCCCGGCCGGCCCCTCCGGCGGATCCCCGTCCGTCGTCCCCGCCACCCCGCCGGTAGCGTTTGGGCCCCCGTTACGACGTCGTCGTCCGTGCCGTCCCCCCCCCCCCCCCCACGCCCCCCGTAGCGCGGCAGCCCCCCGGCCATCAGGGGCGGGGCCCCGTTGCTCCCGTGGACCCCCCCGTGCCCCCCCGTGTAGTCTCCCAGCGCGGCCCCCCCGGTACGCCCCCCCCGTGTCGTCCCTCCGGATCCACCGCCCGCCGTCACCGCCCCCCGTCCGTAGCGTCCGTCCCCTCGACCTCCGTGCCCTCGCGGGCAGCCGCCCGCGTGCCCCCCCCCGCCCATCGCCCCGTCTCCACCCCGCTCGGCGTCCCCCCTCCCTTGCCGCGTGAGTCGTCACTCTGGCGCCCGTCGTCAACTTCTCCGCCGCGCGTCCCGCCCCCCCCCCCCGCCCGTTCGTCGATCGTCCTCCGGCTGGGCCCCCCGTGCCCCCGTTACCGTTCGGCCCGTCGGCACGTACTCCCCCCCCTCCGTACTCCCCCCGTGTTGGCGTCCCGTCCCCCACTCCCAGCCGCGTGCCCCGGACCGTCCGCGTTGCGTAGTCCCTCCGCAGGGCGGCCCTCCCCGCCCGCCGTCCTCCGTCCCGCCGGCCCGTTCGCGGTGTTCGCCCGTCCACCCCTCCGGTGCCGGCCCCGCCCTCCCCCGTCCCCGTGCGCCCCCTGCGGTTTTTTTTGTGGTTTTTGTTTTCGTCCCCGTACGCGCGCGCCGGAGTTAGTCGCCGCCCCGTAGTGCCGCCGTGCCGGTGCCCGTACCCCCCCGCCCCCGTGTATCCGCGTCCGAGTCGGCCGTAAGCGACTGGCCCCCCCGCCCCCACGCGTCCCCGCCGTCGGGGGGTCGCCTCGCACATCGCGCCCCGCGCCCTCCCACGTGTTCGTCCCCGTCCCCCAGTCCGGCCCGTGCTTCGCTGCTGTTTGCCGCGGGCCCGTCCCGCCGCGCCGCGCCCGTGCGTCCCCGTCGGGCCATCCGCCCGTCGGACGCCCGTGCCCACCCCCCGCGAACCCCGTTCCGGCTCCGGTCCGTCTTGTCCCGCCCGCCCCCTCCCCGACCGCCCGCGCGTCCGTCCGTCCCCCACCCGCGCCCTCCCCCCTCCCCTCGTCGTTCCGTCCCCGTTCGTTACCGTCGTCCCCCCCCCCGTCCTCGTCCCGTCCGGCCCCCGCCGTTCCTTCCTCCACCACCCGTCCCGTCGCGTCCCGGTAGCCCGCCGTCCCCAGCCGCCGTCCTGTCCGCTCTCCCCCCCCGTCGTCTCCGTACCGTCTCGTCCGCCGCGCGGCGGGCGCCCCCCCGCGTAGCCCCCGCCCGTCACCCCCCGGCGTTCCCCCCGCCGGACCGCGCGCGCCCCCCCCCGTTCCGCCGATCAGCCCCCCCCCCCGAGTCCGTCCCTCCCCTCCCCCCCCCCCCTGTCGGTCCTCCCGTTCCGCCCAACCGCCGCGTGCGGCCAGTTCGCGTCCCCGCTGCCGTCGTGGTCGCGGCATCCCCCCGTTTCGTCCCCCCCGTCGGCGCCCGTCCCCGGGCCCCCCGTCCGTCGTACCCGGCGCTGGTCGTCCCCCGGCCGTCCCCGTCGCGGCCGTTGCGCCCCCGTACCGTCGTCCCCCCGGTGGCCCCCGGCCCCGCCCCGCCAGCGTCCTGGCCCCCCTGCCCCCGGTGCCCGCCCCTCCCGCCCCGTCCGTCCACTCCCCCGCTCCCGTCGCCGTGCGTTCCGTCCGTCCGCCCCCCTCCGGCCCTCCGTCCCCGTTCCCCCCTCCCCGTCTCGGACCGCCCGCTCCCCCCAACTCGTCCCCCCCCCCCCACCCCGTCGTCACCGCCGCCCCCCCCCGCCTCCGGCGTCCCACCCCGGTCCCCCCGGGGCCGCCGCTGGCGCGTATCCCTTCCCCCGCCCGCTCCGGCCCTCGCGCCCCGCCGTCGTCGTGCCCGCCCCGTCCCGCCCGTCGGTCACGCCCCGTCGCAGCCCGCCGCCGTCGCCCCCGCGCCCCCCCGTGTCGCCGCCTCGCCCCGCGCCCCAGCGCGCCCGCAGGGCCCGTGCGCCGTCCCCGCCTCCCCGTCGCGCGAACCGTGTCGTCGTCCCTAGAGCCCCCGTCCCCCCCGCCCCGCGTTCCCCGTCCACGTATGACGCTCGCCCCCGCGTTTCGTTAACCCGTCGTCCCCCCGGTCCCCCGGCCCCCCGTGCCCCCGTGCCCGCTGCCTTCGTCGCCCGCACCGTCCACGTACTGCGTCCCGCGGGCGTATCAGACGAATAACTTACGATGGTTGCCAAGGGCAGCGGCCACTTCCATCTCTGACGCACGGTGAGACCACCAAGATTCGTGGTCTCTTTTCAGGCTAGCACGGAGTTTTGCCCGGAGCTCTTTGCGAGTTTCATTGTGTTCACTTCCAGCCGGGATATGCCGGCTAACGTCGATAAGTTTCAGAGTCCCAGAAGAGACGCAATGTCCATGTTGGCAATTAGACATACCACAAGAGGATTTGCCTCCTGCTAGTAAGGTCCGACGAACATGTGACCAGTGACCATCAATTGTCTCCAGTGAGCGATTACTCAACTCTCATGACAGCGTACTTCGATACGCATTCAGAACAGCTGGCTTTGTCAGTTGGCTGGTGTCAATGCGCTCACAACATCGTCGTGGGCGTCCGCCAAAACGCATCCGCATGTCAGCACATACAAGTGCATGATCAGTGTCCACACATGTGCTCCAAATCGAGCGACAGTTCTGGATGCAGCCTCTCCAGCGGTAACTGATTGCAATGTGATCGATCTGCGTCCAAGGCTGGTTCGACGCTGGTGGGCGCCAAGTCACCCCTCCGGCGGGTGCTGTGTCGGAAATTAGTGCTCGCAAGAAATAAGCGAGCATCTTCACACAAATGAAGTAACCGCTCACCGTTATCATTACGGGAGCCTAGACCGTGCTGACCATCAAAATGCATTTCGTCGGTGGACAACTTTCCAACTGGCGCGTTCACATCAACACCTAGCACAACCGTGTCCGTGCTTACTCTATGGCCAAGCAGCTGGGACAGTTGACGGTAGAAGTCGTTCTTTACCGAACCATCGCTACAGTTTGTGTGTGCGGAGGCAGCGATGATGAATAGACATCTATTAGTCCCGCGCGACCTCGAAGCTTTGAACGAGCCAGCCAATCGGACTGCACACATCCGGCTACTGATTGGAATCCAATCAACCAGAGCAGCTTCAGCCCGGGGACTCAGGGCAATGCCAACACCAGCTTGGCCGGTGCTCGAAGCTGCATCGTCACCGGATAGGCGCAATGAGAAAATACTGCTTGCGTCACCTGAAGGAGATCGCAGAGTGAGCACAGTGCTCGAGTCTTGCAGGCGAGTCTCTGATAAGCAGCAGATATCGATCGAGAGGGTCTCCAATGTTCGGGCAAGTGCTGCCTGTTGACCGATTTGTAGCAGTGTGCGTACATTGAGGCATGCCAATCTGAAGGAGGATCGAGGGCTCCAAATGGAAGCCGATGAACTGGAATGGACCGCTTGGTTGGATCTGGGCTTGTCGACAGGAGAGGAGTGACGCTCCGCGTTCACATGTGAGTTGAAATTAGAAGATAAATACCTAGCAAAGCATGTTGGGGGAGGGCCAAGAATCGGGGGGTTGAAAACTGGGGGATATAAGTGAAGTTGGAACGGGACGGTTTGGGTGAAAAAGCGTAAGCCGGGGAATAAGAGGATGGGAATGCTTGAGCAGTAGCATCCAAACCCTTATCCACCCTGCCCGATGCAGCATATAGAGCACCGTTGATTATCCTCTGCGGTGGCTAGATCATCAAGAAATTGTTTGAAGAAAGATTCATTGTATTGCGTGGGCAGGATACTGTCAGGTTGCCCAGGCCTAGACAGGAGAACGATTAGGGTTCTCAACCAAAGCCTTTGGTTCAAAACCTGACCGCAAGGCAGCGGGTTTGGCGTTGGGCTACAAGGAGTCCGTTTTAAGGAATAAGGTGCCACCCTCATTCCAACCCCCACCTGGAGGACCAGGAGGCTGAGTTTGTCTGGCCTCTAACCATTGACCAATCTGGTATGAGTGCTCTGAAGGTGAAAAAGCACCACCCAGCATAGCTCAATGGATCGCTGAGGCGCACAATCCATCGCACCACGGTAAGGTCAAGCCTCATTGCGACGCATCTTGTGACAGAGACCAATCCATTTGCTTTGTCGCTGGAGCTAGGTTAGCGAAATCCGTTTTAAAATAGTTGTAAGCTGGTTCCAGCCGACGTGAATACGGCATATCAGCTGTGAGCGCTGAGTGGTCGCTTGTAGCCAGGGACTCAAGAATCCGAAAGTCACGCATTTGTTATTCGTAGCTGACTAATCTTAGGTCGAGACAGGACGGGGTTGAGTGTGTTGTTATGTGTGTTAGCTGGCATATGTCTTGCAATGCACCAGTTGCAAGTAAAACATCCACGAACTTTGATTCAACCTCACTAAATCCAGACATCGAATGTACATCAGGCCATAATATTCGAGGACAGTTAAAATCGCCCATAAGTAGAAAGTGTGGACGACTCATGTGGGTTCGAAGATGGGGCAGTCAATCCAAATCACTACTCATGGGGCTGCGCTAAACTGCAAGCACAAGCAGTTCTCCTGCGCCTGAGGCGGATGGAGCACCATAGTAGCTCACACAAACCATGGTCACTTCGGTAGGTGCTCACAACTCACCCACGCAGGGAAAACCTGATGTAAAGCAAGACATCACCGCGAGCATTGATTAGTCTATCGTATTAGAAGCACGAGTAACGGCTGAGTTCAAGTTCTTGGGTATATAACTCTGAATGCAGCGATAACTCTGCGAGTCTTGGTACGTCTGGCCGCTCAGAGGCAACGAAATAACAAATCCCATCGCGCTTGTTCATAACACTGCAAACGTTTGTGAACGTCACTTGCAGACCGCAGCGTGCTTCAAGTGTGAGCAGCCTGTTTATCCTGATTCGCTGATTGCCAGAAAACACCCAAAAAGTTATGATACGAAGATTTGTTTCCCCCTCACCAGACTGCTTTTGAGCCCATTGATGGCAGAATTCAGTCACTTCCTCTCTATTTGGTCCAGGTCTGAAAGAACATGGATCAGGGACATGACCAGTCTTGGACTGGCTTCGTCCATAAAAGTGATCCTCATGGGCCGATTTTGTTGATCCCCTTGATTTTCAAGATGGGTAATTTGACTCACTTTTACTGAGTACTTACCAGGGTCGAGAATGCTGACAATCAGCCTCTGTAAAAAGAAATCGTGATCGTAGCGCACTTGGGATGATGGATCACTGGACTCCGGCGCGTGGAAGGTCACGAAGATGTAACGCCTCTGTGCGGACGAGGTTGAACTTGCAGGGCGAACTATGTTACCAGCCTCAAGTGGTTTTGCTAACCGCTGAGTTACAGAAGTTAAAAGCCCAAGAGCCCCTCGTAATTTCATTTTTTGTTATTTTCACTGGTCTTCAGCACCCGGGCTTTCACCTGCTGAGATGTCAGTGCCCGATGGACAAAACGAGGTAAAAACTTATGCCAGGTAAATCTGGGCCTCTCACAACCGTTGGACTTTGTGCCGGTGAGTTAGCAAGAGTAGAGGAGGAAGACTGAGCTGAAACCTGAAGACACTTCGGGCTAGGTTTTAGGCCAAACACTCGGAGCTGTTCGCAATTCAATGATGAAGCCTACACGTCGGCTGTACTCTTCCTGGCTGTATCTTTTTTCCGCAATTCTCACACATAAAACAACACAAAGTGATCTTATCAACACAGCCAAAAATAACCGACTGGATACCGCCATCTACCGACAACCATCAATCTGTTCCAGTTTTCTGACCACGATGCGTTTTTGTGCAAAGCGCGGATGAGTTGCAGCACATGACTTCCGCTCCTACTTCCAGAGCGGCTAAATGCAAGTTTAAAAGCAACACAAGGTATTCTGTTTGTCATTTCCAGCCTTCAACAGGAATGCTGTCAGCGTGCCTATAAAATCCAGGTTGTTGATGACGTGTCAGACACAGCATGGATAGGTTACTATATTGGGAGCGTAATATCAGCCGACCTATAATTGATGAGTGAGCTACGCGTCCGGGTTTCGAAGGCGGCTGTTGCGCATTGCAGGCTGGAGAAACGTGTGTGGAACAATCATAAGCGTGTCACTGAAACGAAGCTGAGGGTACACAAGTCCATGGTGCCTTCCACTCTACTATACGACACCGCTAAATCGGTTGACGTGGTAGGTGTGTTACATTAACGCTGTAGTGGGTCTGTAAGTGTGGGTACTTTCATTCTGAGATGCTTTCAGTTCAGGAGATAGCTGTTGTTTAATAGCTCTGTTTGGTAATACTTGATGTTAATGTTGACAAGATATCTACCTGTCTGTTACCCTCCACCTAATCAATACTGGACCTAAACAACTGTGAAGGATTGCTGGGGAGCGGGGTGCACCATCCTTGAGGGTGTTTTGCTCAAAGATTGCCCCATGCATATAGTGTGGAACGGGTTACAGCCTAAGCACCGCTATGTGTACATCCGAAATTGACAGACAGGAATGTTGCTGCTGTTCATGTCGAAGTAGTATGGGCGGGCTCCGTTGATGAAACGTGAATACAATCTACATGCCTTCCCGTGTTATTCCTTCGGGTTTACACGTCATATGTGATGTGTGCATGAATATGTATGGTGCAGCACATGCTAACCATGGTCCCTTCATAAGCGTAGGATCCTGTGGCTGTCGCTTGGTTGCATTGAGGTGGGAATCCAGATTCGGAAGCCCGCAGTTATACTCTGAACAATGAACAATGATTTATGTCGGCTAAACTAGCAGTTGCTTGACATGACCTGCAGGTTTGTGAGGGTAAAACTACCAATATCAAAAGATAGTTCAATTGTCTGATCGTTTATATAGCAGATAGGCTGCTAAATAATAGTAATGTATGTGGGAATTGAATGCGAACGATGAGCCAAAATAGGGATAGTTATAGTTGTTGTACTCCGTGAGAGAAATACGAAGTTAACAACGGGACTACACAAGTCTATCCCGTATCATCAGGTTTATGTAACTCGCTAATCCGGTTTGGAGGG